TATTCGTGGAGCTGTGCATAGCACTAGAAGAAGATAACGTTTTTTTTTTGTTATTTGATGATAACACAACAAAGAAAAAAACATCTTAGTAACCTTTGTAACGCACAGCAAAATCGTATGGGTTGTAAAGTGTTAATACCTGAGAAAAGGTGTTGGAATCATCTAAGATTAAATAAATATTTAAAAAAGATTCTGAGATAATTAATTTTTATCTTACCGAGATAGAATAGAAGAGAATTCGATGAACAGAAGAAAGGTAATTGCGAAGCATTGTGACTCAAATGTGTGGGTAAGGACATCAACACATCTGTAAGGTACAGTTTTAAAAATGAGGAAAAAAAGCACATGGATCAACGGTAGAGATATATCGTAGGGGGTGCGTCGATATATGACTCATCATAAGCAGCTGACAATTATAGAATGAAACTAAAAAAAAGAGACAGCAGTTATACATTTTCTCTTTTTTTTAGAACTTTGTTCTGCTATCTTTAAAGTAAAAAAAAGACAATGAATATATTTATTTTATTTTTGAATACAATGAATTATTCTGTTGAAAAGAGCGTCATCTATCGTATTCTATTATGAGAGAAAGAAAAATGAAATGCAGAGAAGTTTCGATGACAACGATGACTTTTTTTGTATTGTGGTATAGGTCAATCTCTTAACGAGAGGGGTTATTTCTTCAAGAAAAAGGAAAACATTTTAGACGATTAACAGTGCATGACTTTTATGTTTGTCTAATATGAAAGTGAATTGTCATTAAGTACAAAAAATCACGACACATTAAACAAAAATAAAATGTATAGTTTATTTGTAAAACAAAAAAAAACAAATAGTCTTAAATATTATAAAGGTAAATTTATAATATCTTCTTCAACCATATGAATGGAACCACCTGTATTCAAAGCATTTGTATTTTACTGATAAACAATTATTACTGATACAAATCGTATTAGACTCTGTACGTGTTTGATTGTCATTTATACAATGGAATAAATTTAAATAAGGTATAATTGTATTAGCACATTTTGATCATAGACAACATCCATAATGAATATGCTTACTTATAGTGAGAAGTGATAAATATCTTTATAAAGTATTTAAATTGAACTAATGGTTTTAATATATTTCATTTTGAGAGTATATCGAAAAGGTTTAGTTGTCTGAAAGATTTTGTTTTTGTCCAGCGGTAGAATCCCTATATCAGAAGTCCTCATTGGAAGCGACACAATAAAAGATGTATCCAAAGCTTGGTTATGTTAACATTGTTTTGAGCATTTGGAGGCGAAGGTTGTGATAGAAATAATTTCTCACTGCCCTCGCCCACACTGCAATCAACTATACATATATATTATTCTTGTTTTCTTTCTTATGCGGTTGACTGAAAACAGTTGTAATGATACGCACTTTCACAATTTCGTTTCATGTTTTTTACGTCATGATATACAATACAGTTCGACATATTTGATGATGACAAATGCGTAGTAGAATGTTACTCGGTACGCAACTCTATTTTTTCTAATTGCGCAGCTATTAACTGGCAATTATATATCGATGTTATAATAAAATATATCTTACACAAATATTTGTATACAGAACACTAAGAAAATGTCCCGACCTGCTGTCAATCAATCTGTTAAACATAGAAAACCTCACGCTAAAGATCGTTTAATAGGTAATGAGTTTGAATACGGAGGTAATACGGGACTTGGTTATCAACGTCCCCGTATAAGAGCTGTTTTTATTCCAAGTCAACCACAATATGGTATGGCTAATCAGCAATGTCCTCCAAGTCAACCACAATATAATATGGCTAATCAACAATGTTGTCCAGGTGGTATGGGTGGTATGGGTGGCATGGGTGGTATGGGTGGTTATGGTGGAGGAGGAATGCCAGGAATTCCAAATAGACCTTTTGTAACGGCAGACGAAGTATTTTTTGCTTAGTTTTAACAAATTAAAATAATAATCATGTAATATAAACATCAGGTTTCAAAGATAAAACACGAGTCAAAACAAAACGAATGCCAAATTATGTTTTTCAATTTATCTTCTTTTTTCGTATTTCTATCAACTATATATAGTCGCACCTCCAAAAACATTAGTTTACTTGAGTCATTGAAATAAAATAAGTATCCATCGTAGAAAGCAATTCTTTCTACACCGATGAATCAACCAAGTATCATTTCTCAAATTGAATTTACGAGGGTGTCGGTGTGGATGAGGTCGTTATATTACCATGACACCCATACCCAAAAATGAAATTTAGAACGCAAACAGTTGCATTGAATATCAGAAAAGATAGACAAATGTAATTATTTGCTCTTTTAGTCAGAGATGCAGAATTTTCGTCGTACGCCCCCGAGCGGGGAAGGAAACTTTTGAAAAACTGTGGATAAGTTTTCGCAGTTTAACCTGGAAAACTTTTGATTTTTGTAAGATTCTGCATCTCTAATTGTAGTTATCCTTATGAATTCCTGTATGCATAGATGATGTTCAATATTTCATCTATTTTTAATACGTATTATTTTGAGGGCGTGGGTGTGAGAATTTAAAAAAAGAGCAACCGCACCCCACACCCTGTTAAATATTTTTATAAAGTATTTAAACTGAACTAATGGTTTTAATATATTTCATTTTGAGAGTATATCGAAAAGGTTTAGTTGTCTGAAAGATTTCGTTTTTATCTAGGGGTAGAATCCCTATAGTAGAAGTTCCCACTAGCAGTGACACAATAAAAGATGTATCGAAAGCTTGGTTATGTTAACATTGTTTTGAGCATTTGGAGGTGAAGGTTGTGATAGAAATAATTTCTCTCTCATTTCGCCCACACTGCAATCAACTATACATGTATATTATTCTTGTTTTCTTTCTTATGCGGTTGACTGAAAACAGTTGTAATGATACGCACTTTCACAATTTCGTTTCATGTTTTTTACGTCATGATATACAATACATTCTGACGCATAATAGAATGTTACTCTGTACGCAACTCTATTTTTTCTAATTGCGCAGCGATTCACTGACAATTATATATCGATGTTATAATAAAATATATCTTACACAAATATTTGTATACAGAACACTAAGAAAATGTCCCGACCTGCTGTCAATCAATCTGTTAAACGTAGGAAACCTCAAGCTAAAGATCGTTTAATAGGTAATGAGCTTGGATACGGAGGTAATGCGGGACTTGGTTATCAAACTCCGCGTGTAAAAGTTATTTTTATTCCAAGTCAACCACAATATGGTATGGGTAATCAGCAATGTCCTCCAAGTCAACCACAATATGGTATGGGTAACCAACAATGTTGTCCAGGTGGCATGGGTGGTTATGGTGGCATGGGTGGTATGGGTGGTATGGGTGGTATGGGTGGCATGGGTGGCATGGGTGGCATGGGTGGCATGGGTGGCATGGGTGTTTGTTGTTGAGAAGGAATGTTAGAAATTTCAAATAGATCATTTGTAACAGCAGACGAAGTATTTTTTAATTAATTTTAATAAAATTAAAATAATAATCATTTAATATAAATATTAGGTTTTCAAAGATAAATCACGAGTCAAAACAAAACGAATGCCAAACTATGTTTTTCAATTTATCTTCTTTTTTTGTATTTCTATCAACTGTATACAGTCGCACCTGCGAAAAAAATTAGTTTACTTGAGTCATTGAGTTAAAATATCTATTCGTCATAGAAAGCAATTCTTCTCACACCGATGAATCAACCAAGTATCATATTTCAAATTGAATTTAGTCGTGGAATCAGGAAATGATTAATGTCTAGTTTATCTATATATAAAGGGCGATACCTACGATGAATTCGTTATATTAAAATCTAACACTTCATCCATTATACGATAAATAAATCATTTGAATTAATCTAACTCGGTGCTTCGTTGTGAGTGTGATGCAGTTGTAAGTGTTGGTGTTACATCGACTATTTACCCACATCTAGATTCATCCTCAAGATGGGTACCCTGTATCTTTGCCCACACACACGAGCGCACGTACCTCTGAAAAATAGCATTAATTCAAAAATAAGTGAGCAAACCCTTCTTTTATTTATTTATCACTTATTCTTTATAATTTCTTTTTTTACAATTTCAATAATCTCTTTCACCATTATTATATGAGGGTGAGTTGAAGGTAAAGCACATTGCCATATGTCCAGAGCACGTTCAAAATATGACAGTGCTTTCAAATATTCTTTCATATTTTTATACACAAAACCGATGTTGTTGTATGAAGTAGCCAATGAAGGATGATTTGAAGGAAGAGTTTTTTGTCGAATTTTAATTGCTTTTTCTTGAAATGAGAGTGCCTTCGAGTACTCTCCTGTCTTGTTATACACACCATCGATGTTGTTGTATAAAGTAGCCAAATCAGGATGATCTGGAGAAAGAGTTTTTTGACAGATTTCAAAGTCTTTTTCGTAATATGAAAGGGCTTTCAAGTACTCTCCTATATTGGAATACACTAAATCGATGTTGTTGTATGAAGTGGATGTGGATATTCTTTTTCATCCACACCCATAGCCACAAGGTGGTTTGGAAAATACACATACATACTAGTACATATATACTAACTGACTTTTTCTTTCATTTATACGTATCTGATGATGTTCTTAGGTAGAACGAAACATCACAAATAGTGTTTTTAAGTAACAAAATAAAATGATTGATAGTCTTATTACTTGTCTTACCATTATTTAAATTCATACTATGAAATGAAGTTCATGATAGCTTCTCTAACTTCAATGTTTTTATATTTTTATTTCGAGAACGAGAATAAAGTAACTCATATTTAAAACGAAAAAAGGTTTGGGCCGAAACAAGATCAAAAATGTGATTAAATATTCGAATCTCATCGTCACATTCTCACCCAACATTGGCATCGTACGAATGGAGCTGTTCGCTGACGATTTTATTTACGATCTTCTGTTCAATTGAACTCATTTCTTTTTTGTTATTCGTATAAGGACCTACAGCATTTTGTGAGATACTATTGAAACTAAGTGATCCGTTATCTTTTTGAGAGAAGCCAGACACAAAACGATATTGTTTTGAATCACCATAAATTCGATAGTACCATTGCAGTAATTGCTTATGCTGTGTTGCATCATTCGATTGGTAACCAAAATGATTTTCACAAACAAGTAACACAGTATTTTCATGGTTCTTATCGACAGGATAAAGCACCAGTCCTGTTTTTCGCCCTCGACATTTGCAATTATGAGGTGACAAACGAAATCGACTTGAGATCGCATATTTCTGCCCACTAATATCGGTTACAATATAATTACCATACGGTCCGTGACTAATTTGGTTGGCGCCCATATTACAACTATTACTCTAAAAGAAAAACATAGTTTCTCAGACGCTCAGAAAAAAATCGGTTTGTAATCGATATCAAACGTGAAATCATAATATCTCAATAAAACGAGTAGCTTATAAATACTATACCATCCTATTACTGAGGGTTTGTCTATCTGTAATGGAGATTTCAAGTACTAACTCGTTTTCAAATTTGGGTAAAATCTTTCGGATGAGAGAGACAAAATACTCAGTAAGTGGTATATGATATATGCGATTTCACTCTATTTACCGAGTACGTCGTTTCTCTTTGTTCTGTTCTGCTGACTTTTTCGTTTTATGGACCAATATTTGCACTTAAATAATATCGTTCGAACGAATCTTCTATATTTCGTCGACAAAACGTTTGTCGAAACATTTTATCAAAAGTGTGAGTGTGAATGTGGGTAAATGGCTAGAGAGTGGGTGTGGGTGTGGATTAAGAGAAGACAAACGCCAACACCTACACCCACCACACCCTCACCCACACTCACACCCTCAAGATGATGATGAGAGTGTGGGTGTCTCTCTTTCATCCACACCCACGCCCTCACCCATCTCCACGACCGTATACGCAGAAGTATGATCATTTACGAAGAAAAACGGAAGAAAACTGAGATCGTATTTTGTTTTCGTATACAAAGACCGTAAACAATCGTTTCATTATCCATAAATAATCTTCAGGGTGGACGTGGATGTGGGTTGGTGAGGACGATGGGAGGAAAAACACCTTTACACGAACCCATTCAACTTCACCCTTACACCCACACCCACCCTCATTCCTGCGTCATATCGTTCCTGAAACCACCAGCCTTATTGCTTCTTTTCGTATATAGCTGATCTTACAAGTGGCGGTTTGTGATTACTGATTATAAAATTATATAGCTTTGTTTTTTTATGACGGTGTTGTTGTCGTCGTTGTTGATAATGGAAAATAAAAAACTCCATATACTCTTCTTTATAAAATGCCCACTTGCCTGAGACAACTCGGTTGAAAACTCACTTTTTACTCGTATTCTGGTACATTTTCTACCCTTTTTCTTCCTCTGCTGAACAAAGGACAAATTTGTTCAAGCTCATACGCTTCAATGAAAAGAAGAACAGATAGCTTGTTGCTGTAAGAATTGCAGGTCAAGACAAGGAAGAGTGAGTAGTTGTGTATGCACCAACGAAGAAAGTGTCTTGAACTGCATGCTTAAGTCCGAAATTTGAGCCTGCACGAGTTTGGGGACACACGATTCGGTTTGAATTAACTACCTTGCTACGGCTTGATGTCCGAAACAAACTCTTGCCATCAGTGGAGGCTATGTCAGAGGAACTGCCATTGCATTTTCTATGTGCTACGATAATTATCTCATTCAATTTTGTTTAAAAATGGTAGAGGGTCAGTTTGAGTTCTTATGACCATCCACCTTCTCCCCCTTCTTCTGTGTGCAGTACACATATCTAGAGAAGCTTGTTCCTTATTTTCTTTTTTTAGATAAAGAAAACGGCTACTTCCTTTTCGTGCCTTCCTTCTTTTACCTCTTCATCGATGGGATCACGTGACTTTTCGCTTGTGGCCAAAGAACTGATTCCGGTACGTAACTCCCGCGATCCGAACAACGGTGAATTGTGGTCGGCTAGCACGCATGCTCCTTTCGCCTTCCTTTCTATGTTTACAAAAGGAGCTCTGGCACCGGCGGTAATCATTGCTCCTAAACTAACCTACGAGGCAATTCTGAACATCCGTGCATGGTGGAAGGGAGAAATCTCGGGTCAGCGATGTGTGAAAAATTTGCTCGATGACGTGGCAACGGTGGCAGGAGGAATGGGCGGTGCCTGGGTCGGGGCGGCCGCTGGTTCCATATTTGGTCCGATAGGTGCCGGTGTTGGCTTTTTTATTGGCGGAGTCATCGGTTGCTTGGCAGCATCGCAGCTGTCGAAACAACTCACAGAGAAACTGTTCAATCTTCCACGAAGCGTGGCGCTGGAAAATGCCTATCGCTATTTCGGCTTGACGCAATCGTGCTCCATCGGCGACATCAATGCGGCCTACAGACGACTGGCCTTGGTCAAGCATCCGGACAAGGGCGGCTCGAATGAAGATTTTTTCGAATTGCAAGTCAACCTTGCCATCATCAAAGAATATCGAGAGGGACTTTAATTGAAGTTTTTTTCAGTATTTTTACTGTTAGCCCGACAAAAAATATTTTCTAATCAAGCTGTACAACTAACTGGAATCAACTATTTTTTCACTAAAGCCAAGATATCTGCTATTCCAACTTGCTCTTACATTCTGGGATAGAAAGTTTCCTTCGAATAATCGAACTAATTTTTATGGAATGTTTGCATGAACCAGTTTGGTTAGTACAGAAGGGTGGGGTTGGGTGAGGGCGTGGTGTTAGTAAGGACGAGGGTGAGGGCGGGGTGTGGGTGGGTGTAGATAAGTAGAGATCGGTTTAGGGTGGATGAAAGATGTAACAAACATCCTCACGCACACCAATACTACACCCACACCCTTTTAGAAATAAAACAATTGTTTATTGAAAATTAACCACCAACCGATCGTCTTGTGCTCGAAATATCTACATTCTACGATAATATTGCATCAAATTATTTCTTTTCGAAAGATTATTTATCAGCATTACTAATGTGTAAAAAATCTATTGACATACGTTCAAATATTGTTTTGAATTAATTTTTCATCTATTTATACCAAACATAGATAATTACAAAAAAACAGAATGTCCACAATTTTTCTAAATATTTATCTATTTTGATATACACAATGTTGCAGAAAACTTGATTACAAATTAATTATTGATTTTTGACAGTTTTCAATTCGTTGAAATAGTACGGTTAATTAATAATAGGAACGCTCATTGAATACTGATTATTTTATTCTTAGATTGAAAGCTAATGAAACCCTCAGAGCTGTATCTTTGACTGCATTGCTGACAATCATGACTTTTATCTTACTAAAGAGAATAAAATTTTATAGCTGCTGAATACGGGTCTTAAAACTACCTACTCCTCGTGTTATTCATAAATATTTCACTCTTTGAAAATATACTAATACTAGTTGAATCTTCACTTTATCACATGATTATCTATGCACTTTTTAAGTACATTTTTATTGTATTTGTTATAGGATAGAATCACAACAATTAGAAAAAATGAATGGAATATCGAATTTCCACTTATCGATATGTGAATAGATGCATCTGTTATATTTCAATCTGATTCACTTAAGATTCTCTCGGTGTTTTAGAAATGAAAATACACATTTTTTCATCATATTCTCTTATTCTAAAATCAACTATGGCTACAATCAATATCTACTGCTTCGTCGTTTTCATTCTTCTCAGGTAAATAATTACTCATTTTTATCACTAATTTTGTTAATATTCATTGATTTCATATTTTAGCATAACAGGTTTGATTTTTATTCTATTTTATATATAATATTTTATCACTTTTATAGTTCAAATCAATTCTCAAATATGTGAGAAAACACCTCAGTATGGGGAATGTTCCACAAACAGTGCATGTAGGTGTTTTCATATGATGGGTGCTGATGATAATACAGGCATTTGTGGTTTCCTGTGGCCAACATGCTCTCGTCTTTTACGGTGCAATTCCTCAGACAATTCATGTCTTCAATCGAACACAATCTGCGTTCAGCACCCTCAATGCGATGATCTTCCACTTTGCTATCCAGCTACAATGATTGATCAAAACATGTGTCCACCAATGAAAAGTGAGTGGGTCGATGGATGATAGATGCAACATTCTTGTTCACACCCTCAAGATATGTGAAACTATAAATTTCATGTGTTTTAGATAAGATCAACCTCAAATGGAAACAAAATGCCATCACTGTGGCTGGTGGAAATGGACAAAGACAACAATTAAATCAACTATATTTCCCTCAAGGAATCTTTATTGATGAAAGGAAAAATATTATCATTGCTGATACTAGTAATCATCGTATTGTTGAATGGAAATACAATGCAAAAGAAGGACAAGTCATTGCAGGAGGAAATGGGATGGGAAATCAAATGGATCAATTGTTTCATCCAACAGATGTGATTTTTGATGAACAAAATCATTCGATCATCATTGCTGATTTTTTGAACAGACGAGTGGTTCAATGGGTAAATCAAAAGCAACAAATTCTTATTGACAATATTCACTGTCGTAGCTTGGAAATGGATAAATATGGATTCCTTTATGTTTCAGATTATGAGAAGAATGAAGTGAGACGATGGAAAATGGGTGAATACAATGAAGGAATTGTAGTGGCAGGTGGAAATGGCAGAGGAGATCAGCTCAATCAACTCAATTATCCTACTTTCATCTTTGTTGATGAAGATCAATCTATTTATGTAACAGATGCAGGTAATCATCGTGTGCTGAAATGGAGAAAAGATGCAAAAGAAGGAGTTGTTGTTGCTGGAGGAAATGGTGAAGGAGGAAATCGCAATCAATTGTCTGCACCTCAAGGTGTAATTGTGGATGATTTGGGTCAAATCTATGTGGCTGATAGTGAGAATCATCGAGTGATGCGTTGGTGTGAGGGAAAAAAAGAAGGTGAAATTGTTGTTGGTGGAAATGGGATAGGAGGTGAATCAAATCAATTATCTAGTCCCGCTGGTTTATCTTTTGACGATAAAGGAAATCTGTATGTTGTTGATGTATCGAATCATCGAATTCAAAAATTTGAAATAATCTTGTGAACGAAATTTTGATTTTGAATAAAAGAAAAGAAATTTTACTGAATAAATGGTCGAGAAATAAAAGGAAAAATAAAGTTTTATTGTTGAGAATTAATGAAAAAAATCGAATAAATTTTAGGTGAGAAAATAACGAAGAAAAATCTTCTTGGTTTTTTATGAACCTTGAATTGAATTTGTAAGTTTTCATTAAAAAAATCGAATAAATGAATGTTAAATTTTTGTTGAATTTTTTAGGAGAAAAGAAAAGAGAATCTTTTTATGTCAATGAACAACAATAGATTGAAATTGAACAAAATTATTGACATTTATTTGATAAAATTATTTGTTTAAATGATTCATTTGATTCAATTTTTTTACAATTAGAAACTTTAGTTAAAGATGTACAAATTAAACCTATGTAGGTTGATCGATATTGGTTCTCTCCTAGAAAACGTTTTTAATAAAAAGATAATAATAATAATAGATTTATTTCGCATTTTTCATAGAATTTTTCTTTTTTAATTTGAAAATACAGATATTCCAACAATAAGTGATTCGAATTTCTTATTAATTAAATAAAATAATCAGAGATTTAATAGAATAGATAAAATATTTAAACATGTATTATGATTTCGAAGAATTAATATTAAATGCATAGTATAATCAAATCCTTCTAATTTCTATTAATATACAATAATACTTTTTCATTTTGTATTAGTTTCGTTTATAAAAATTCTATAAATTGATTTATTATTTGATTTGAAAGAAAGGATAACAATAGAAAGAATATTGTAAATAAACAGAATATGATTTATATTTTTTGTTATTAATCAATGAATAAAGAATATTGAAAAAAATAAAACATGATTGATTATGGTTTCTATAATAATAATATTTGTTTAAATTGTATATAGTTTTCAATAGATAAAAAAAAAACATAAAAAATATTAATTAATTTAATAACGTAAAAATTTTTGTATTCTTTGATTTAATTCATCCGCAACATATAAATTAAGTTGATTATCAAATGCAACTGACGTAGGATAGTATAACATAGTTGAATTAAGTCCAAGTATACCTGAAATTCCTGCAATTGTTGTTCCATTTGATCGACCAACTAAATATAATTGTATACGTTGATTTAACGTATCTGCTACGTACATATTACCCATTGGATCATAGGTAACAGTTATTGGATGATTAAAACTTATTGAATCAGTACCAGTCAATCCTGTTGAACTTCCAGCAATTATTGTCCATTTAGAATCACCTATTTTCCATCGAACAATATTATTTGCACCATTATTTGAAATAATAAGACTATTTGTTGATGAATCGAAAAGAAGACCAGCAGGATAATTCAATTGTGTATTATTTATTCTTAAACCATTTCCACCAGCAATAACAGTACCTGTTAAATTACCAGATAAATATTTCATAATACGATGATTATTAAAGTCAGATATATATATTGTATTAGAATTTGGATCCATAGCAATACCATATGGAATATTAAACTGATTTAATCCAGAGCCAACAGAACCTAGAAAATTTTATCAAAACTAATCATTTTTCTATAAGGAAAAAAGGATTTATTCACCTGTTACACCCGCGACGTTTGTTCCATAAGATGCGCCATAGTTCCATAATTGAATTCGTTCATTATTTGAATCTGCTATATATAAATTATTATTTGTATCCATATATAAAAATGTTGGTCCATTTAAAGAGCTCATATTTGTTCCTGACACAGCATTTGCTTGACCAGCTATTGTTTTACAAGTTAAATTTCTGATATTACATTTTTGAATTCTATGATTATATCTATCGCTAATATAAAGATCACCAAATGAATCAAATCCTAAACCAAAAGGATTAGATAATTGATTTGATGTATTTCCTCTTATGCCTGCAGTGCCAAACAAAGTTATACCACTTGTATTCCATCGAAGATAAGCTTCAAGAGCTAAAACAACAATAATAAGAAAAAAAGTTTTCTATGTTAAAATTATATTTACAAGGTATATTTGTAGTTTTTTTCGTTTTTCTCATTAGAATAATAAGAATAATAGCTAGAATTATACCAAGAAGTATAAGATAAAGAAGAGTAATAAAAGACATTAGTGCGCGTCGTCGTGAACATCGACAATAATATTCAATAAAATTCCTATGTTAAATATTATAAACTAATTAAGTTGTAATAATTGTATTTACTGTTTCTTTTTATTGTTGATTGAATGATGATGATTATTTATTGGATTTCTTAAAGCTTCTATTGTTCCCGACCGCTATATTTTGGAGATTATTGAATAGAATGAAACAAAAACTAATATGAAATCTTACATTTTTGTCTACAATATGAATATTTGATGTCGATTGATTGCTAATATTATTCTAGAAGAGAAATATTTATATTTTAAAATAAAACATTCATTGAGTTACTTGATGATCAATATTTTTTCCTGTTTCATTTGGAATATTAATACTTTTCGATGGATTTTGATGAAACTATAATAAATATGTAAAATATTTTCTTTTTCGATAGGTTCATTTAATTTTTGTATGTTAATTAGTTTGTTGTCTTTTCCACCATGAACAAACTTTTGAGAAAGTAACCTGTCATCAAAAGAAAAGATTATTTTTTTCATAGGTGACAAACTCATATTTTGCTATTTCGATGTTTCTTCATCGAACTAATTTAGAATGTATTATTATTGAAGAAACCAAAAAAAAGAAAACTAGACGTATGACAAACAATAAAGAATGACTTTGATCA